CTGTTTGTTCTGACTTCTAATGAAATATTTTACCATGGGCATCACATAACAAATCAGGACTTGTAGCGTTGCATATACCTGTGTGCCAGTTTTGATGATCTTACAATTCTGATATGGCTGTAAAAATATACAAACAACTCAAAAGTGTTGGGGCATTTTATTATTAATCTCACTAATGGGATGCCATGTTGACTGCAACTAAAATGTGCATCATGAGTTGGCCTCAGCATCAACAAGAAGTAGCATTTTAATATGACATAACCTCCCAGTGATGAGGCATCCCAAATGATTGAGTCCAGCACATCTAATGGCTCTGTAAGTTCTCTTTGACTGAACAACGGCGTGATGTTCTCTGAGGCAGCATTCGAATGTAGAGTTTAAGAAATTTTGATAGATCAGAATAAAATATACAAACAGAACTTAGGTTTTATGAGATAATGGATTTTTAATTTACTTTTAAACTAGTTGTTTTTGTTTTTTGAGGTTTTTCGTTTACCCGCTAGTTATTAATGTACTTGATCTTTCTTCATTGACAACACAAAAATTACCTGCATCTTGAGGAAGTTGATTAAATGGAAAGTGGTGAAGCATCTACAATATTACAGCCAAAATCAAAAGAGAAATACTGGCAAAATGGTTATTAGTTTAACTAGTGAGGCAGAGTAATAAATGCAGCACTCAATGCACTCTTCAATGCCAGCTGTTGATATATGAAGTGAATGCAGCCAATTAAAGCTGCTGAACTTTACATTTTACCATGTTTTATGCACAAAAGATAAAAGGGTAATTTGGTCCTAAAGTAACAAATGTATGGAAACGACTTTAGTTGTTGGAATAAATCAAAATAAAATCTTCCAGTGCTCTTGTATTCTGTCATGATACCAACTTTCTAATAAACAGTATAGTCCCTGATCTTCAGCAGCGTGAAACTAAGTTAAAAGCAGGGTTTGTACCAGACTGTGCTTGGTTTCAGTGGTGTACTTTGAGGTACCCCTTCATCCAGTCATTATGGCCACAGCTGAAGAAGCTGAGTTTGAGGACTCCAGCAAAGGCAAGTCCGTTCCCTTGACAGAGGTCACAAATGTGTTGTTCAAAAGCTTCTCATAGACAGGGCACCAGCTGAAGACATTTCAGGGTTCTGGACATTGTGGGGCTGTTGTAGACGATAAGATTCTTTATTGTCATATGGAGGACCAAAATCAGAGTCAAGCATGGTCACGATTTTGGAAAAAAAAGATGACCAGAAAATGTCCTCAATCAGGAGTTCACCA